TGGTGCGGGGGGGGGTGGAGGCGGTGTGTGTGTGTGTGTGTGTGTGTGTGCTGTGGGCAATATGGAAGGAAAGATGCAGCCAGACGCCTGGCAACACCAAGAACCCACATGACAAAGTCTGGATCCCAAGAGCTTATGATTGAGGCGGAAACCCTGTGTCAATGTCGAAGAGTCAAAAGGTGCAATTCAAAGCTACCCTGGCACTGAACAGGTACGGTTGGCGATTTTCAAAAGCATCTAGTTAGCCATTGGCAAAGTGGCTGACATCCATGATATGAGGCTGAGGTGGAGGGACTGGCATAACTCAGATACAGCACAGGGGAGGCAGAACAGTCTAAAGGGAGAGATCTCAGAACCCCACGCGATGTTGATGGTCAAGACTCAAAAGTGAAGTCGACAACCACCACCGATGAGGCAGAAGAAATGGGTGACAACGTCGATCTAAGGCAGACACATGTTATGTACCCGATCGAACTTCAATCCACAGTGAATTCACACGTTCCCATTCACGCATGCAATTGCAGAGTAGACTCGAAGGAGGCAAATCCACACAAAACCGGAGAGAAGAAGATATGCACAGCGGAAGCTCAATTACACACACAGAATTGAAAAACGGATTTCAATTCTTATTGATTCCCCGTCCTCCTCCAATCGATCAAGAGTACTTTTTTCCAAGAATCACAACCGCATTGTCAATAACCCCGAACAACTACACACAAATGTTCAACGGAATTACACGGAGTCTTGTTCGTTCTTCCTCCTTGCCACCTTCAAACCCCGGCTATGGCTGCCGTAGCACCAGAATCCCCAAGCTAATAGCTATCACCCCCTGGCCTATCTGAACTAACAACCCTCAACAGTGGCAGCGCCAGCTCAGAACCAGCCTGGGAGTGCAGTGTTTGAACTCTTGATGAAGAAGAAGACCGATCGAGTACTTCGAAGAAGATGAAGTTCCTCATGAGGAGGAACAGCAGATATGGCCGCCAAATAAAGTATGACGGCAGTGCCCAAACCCAACACAGTCACCGTGGAAAAAAACTCTCTGCAAACTCTGTGCGATGCTGACCACAGAATAGAGCGGGCACTTCGACTTCAGTTCAGCGACCAGCTATGGCTGTCTCCCAACGAAGAAGACGACCTGGAGGCAGATAGCGCAGCTGCGCTTCACCAAACAGGCGGGCAGAGTTTCCCCAGCAGTACCAACGTGAAAAAGACCCTACTCAATTCGCTCCCGAGCTATTTCTGCACTCAGCCTCTAGACGCCGCGGACCCCCAAGGCAACACCCCAAGACTCCGCTGTGTCTAGATGGAAACAGGGGGGAAAAGGGACCCCACACCTAGGACAGGGCAAAAGGGAAAATCCCAATGGCCTTAGACTACCGAACAGGGACTACTGGTAACAGATTCCGGGATGAAGCCCAGTAGGGCTCAAGACCAACCAACAAAACATACAAGTTACAGGTCACGGAATCCATACCCGCAAGGCTCAAAACACGGGGGGGGAAACAAGAAAACAAACACAACCAGCCTAACCGTTGCTATACACCCACTGTTACATACAAGTTCATTGCACCCATATGTTGAATGCTCGAACCTTTCTTATGACTCTTGTCTCAAGACTCTCAAGAAGACAAAACTGGCAAGCTGAGACAGTTAATCCTTCTGAAATATGGAGCAATCTGACACGTAACCTGTCAGACACAAATCTGAGGTTCAGTGTAGGAACCTGAGGGGAACTCATGAGAGAGGCAAGCTGACAGTTAATCCTTCTGAAATAGGGAGCAAAGAATGCTGTTCAGGGGTAGTTTGGCCGAAAGGAGGGAAGTGCGATGGTGCAAATGATGATGTATATTTATGACTTGCTGGGGGGGAAGCAACCGGATTGATGCTCCCCAGAATGGATATGGACTACTAAGGAGCCAGGACCATAAGGGCCTGTTTTGGGGAAAAAAAGGAAAAAAGAAGAACAATAGCGGCAATAGCCTAGAAAGAAAAGAAGGAGAAGAAGAAGAAGAAGAAGAAGAAGAAGAAGAAGAAGAAGAAGAAGAAGAAGAAGAGCTCACTGGGAACTGGGGTTAGCGTGCCCCACAAGGGCCACAACCAATTCCCAGACAACCATGCCCCTGTGGTCTGCAGCAATAAAAAAGAAAGAAAGGGAAGAAAAAAATGCAAAATTGCAAAACATGACTTACTGGTGGAGAAGGAACCACACTGATGCTCCCCAGAATGGACATGGAGCCAGGCCCATGAAGACCTGTTTTCATTGAAGGAAAGAAGAAAGAAAAATTGCAACGCCAAGAGGGTAGGAAGAATTTCAACGAGAAAAGAGAGAGAGAGAGAGAGAGAGAGAGAGAGAGAGAGAGAGAGAGAGAGAGAGAGAGAGAGAGAGAGAGAGAGAGAGAGAGAGAGAGA